GGGGGGGGCAGAGATTGGGACGTGGGGAGCGGGAGGCAGCGGTAAAGGCAGAAGAGAGATTTTTCATTCAAGCCGCACACCACGCCCAGAGAGTCTGGAATTAAACTTTCAGTACGCCGAACTTTTGACTCCAATGAAAAATTTCCCTCTCTCTTTGCCGCCTTTCTCACCATCCCTTCCCCGCGTCCACCATTACCTTCATCTTCGCTACCTTAATCTACCGGCTACACACAATCACCGCTCGCTCGCCGGCTTCATCGTGTTCAATCGGCACTCGGTGCTAAAAGCGCGATTACCCAGCATAAGCCGCCGGCACTCGAGGCGTCTATACAATCGCGTTGCATATTCGCATCACGCAATTCCGTGCTCATGCGGTGAATGCGGCATCCGTAATTCCGCGTCTTGAACGCTATTCAATTTTCCGATCTTCCAAGCCCCGTTTAAATGCCGTTAGATCCGTGGATATTCGAGGCCCTTCCTCGAACGCCGTATCCTTCGATCACGATTTCGTATCCAGCGAATCTTCTTTTTTTTTTCTTTCCTAATGCCGGAGAGAATTTTTCGGCCAGCTTTTTTTTTTGCAAGCCAATCGGAAACTGGTGCCGCCCCTCTCAGGGCGGTGCTCGTTACACGGATCTTTTTATTCTCGTCGCTTTTTTTATCCGTCGTGTTTATTATTTCGTTATTACGAATAAAGTAACGTGCGCACGCTTTTTGCTTTCTCGTCGTTACGTGAGTGGACTAGGGGGTGAGACGTGACCGGGAGCAACATTCTTCTCACGTTGTATAAACGTTCGTCAGCTTTTTTCGCCGGTTGTATTGTATATCATCGCCTCTCTCTCCCCCCCTCCAGCCTCCCTGCCCCTCCCCCCCCGACGGATGGTCATGACGAATAGCGCCGTGCGAAAAAAGTGCGTCGGTTGGTGTCCATTAGATGACCACCACTGAGTGCCCATCGAGCATGCGAACGGCCGCGTCGCGGTCACACCGATGGGTCTAATGGGTGTCTGACGGATGATGCGTTTCGCGCACGTGGATCGGATTTATACAAGTAATGTTCCCTCCTCCCCATAGATTCATTAGACGCTTTTTCTCGCTTGCCGCAAATTTAGTGGTTAATAATTTTCACGCGTATATACTTTCGCCGACGTTGTTTTTCGTGTTACAGGAGACACTGCGTATCTATTTAGTTGGAATAATTTATTATGATTAAATGGAATGACTAATATTCAAGCTGATATTTAAAAATTCTCGGATTTTTGCGTAATAACTAGTTATTACAACTCTTAGTGCATGATAATTCTCCTCTACTACACGGGTCGTTCGTGTCTGGATTAAATCATTTTTAAAAAAGCTAAAGTTATTAAGTGTGATTCTTACTTATATTCTTGCTTATACTATTATACCTTTAAAAAGCATCTTTGGAAAGCAATTAGCAATATGTATGTGCCTAATACGGATCTAATAATATTTTTACGTGATTTTATTACATTTTCTTGTTTTTGCAAATTTTTATCTCGTGGGAGGTATCTGTAAGGTTGTGTACTAAAGAAGCATGTATGTAAATGTTATAATTAATTACAGCCGACACAAATGATCTGTGCATTAAAGTTGAATAGCGTACAATTAATAGATTTTATTTGGGAGAGATATCACTCCAGAATATAGCGTCTGATTTAAAACGTAATAGTAGGGACTTTCATAAATTGTCTTCTTAATAATATAATGTAAATGTTATAATTAATTACAGACATTACAGCCGACACAAATGACCTGTGTATTAAAATTTAATAACGTACAATTGATAGATTTTACTTGGGAAAGATATCACTCCAGCATATAGCGTCTGCAGGTTTAAAACGTAATATAGGGACTCTCGTAAATTGTCTTCTTTAATAGTGTTATATTTTCGATCACAGAAAATTCTGTATCATTTCCATAATGAATCTGTATCTTCGGCCAAATAGAAACGGGGCTTCATCTCGTTTTATCTCATAAAATAAAATTTTAATTGGAACTCGTTGAAGAAGAGAAAATAGACTATTACAAGAAACCGATAATATAATGGGAAAGTATCTATCGGAATGCAATTTATTCGATATTAAAGAATACTGATAATTCTGGTTCTGGCAATTATTGTTTTTACGATAAAAAAAATAAACGTTCGCCGTAATATCTGTATGTGCCTATAAAGGTGTCTCACTTGTATAGGGCAGCTGCTTAGGTAGAGCAAGCTGTAAATAACGCTGATAAAGAACGCCGATGGGCATCCTGAAGGACGACTGTTCTTCGGGATTGCCGCGAGTCGCGAGAAGGGATTCGACACGTTTCGGATAAGAGGCACGGAACGGCGGAATAAAAACGATACTAACGAGATCGGGGTGCAAAAAGGGGTTAAAGGGAAAGGATGGAGAGCGGAGGAGAGCGTGAGGGAAAGACGAAGGGAGAGAAGGAGGGAGGCGGGGAACGCGCGAGTGAGTAACGAACGAGCGGACGAGGTTGAACTTATTGCTATCGCGAATTGAAAATACGCCCGTGCTTAATCCGGCGGGGCTTACGGTCGCGTTTGCATATCCCGGCTGCCTACTTTCGCCCGGATATCCCGCACCCGCCATCGGTAGTTTTTGGTGAGTCCGCCGCGCCATCGCCGGGGTCCTTTCTCTCTCTGTCTCTTTCTCTTTTTCCTTCCTCTCTGTTTATTCGTACTCGCTTTATTACGTTCCAGGATTAATGCAAAGTTACAGACAAAAAGATTGTAGGTATTAAATGTACCGGCGCACGCACCGAAAAACAGAGCGGCTCCGTATCCGGGTGAATAAATGTTACGTAGATGGACCCCGAAACGCTTTCTCTCTCTCTCTCTCTCTCTCTCTCTCTCTCTCTCTCTCTCTCTGTCTGTCTCTCTCTCTCTCTCTTTGGCGCGACCGCGGCTGGCTTTTTTTTACCGCCGTCGCGAAAAATGCAAAACGATCCACCTTCAACGGTGAGCCAGAGCCCGGCAGCGGCACCGTGTGTCATCCCGGACAGGAAGCTGTCCTAACATGACGCACTATGAAAGATGCATGTTAAAATGCCTCCATTCAACGTGCCTTTTAAACTTCGTTTAAGTCGTGTATCACTAACTCTTCAGGAAACATTCAGAAATTTTACACATCTATTTTTTTTAACTGTATAAAGATCAGTAAGCTTCATTTTATGCCACAAAAAGTAACATATCCAAGTACTCAAAGAGTATAGTCAATATTTTGTATAGATAATAACTGCAACGATATAACTGATCCTTTCAATGCGCTGGGAGAAACATTACCGATTTTTTAAATTACGGTTTTCCGTAATGTACGCCGAGCGCGCGACTCTGTTCGGAGACTCTGCAATTAGCATTGAAGTTTGCGGAATTGCAATATTACATTGTGCGCATTGGCGCTCTAATGAGTAACTCCCAGCAACGCGTCGTGTAAATTTGTTGGCCGACTCTCCGTGCATTAGTAGTAACGGACGGTGGGACGCTAATGAGTAGGCGAGGCAGACCGCCTGAGCGTGGACGCTGTTTGAATAGAGTGGAAGACGAAGTTAACTCGAACTGGGTAGATGAAGAGTCCGCGAAATAGCACCAGCGTGGCGGCGCGGGCGGCGGCGGCGGCGGTGGTGGTGGTGATGGCGGTGGTGCGAGCACGCGGTGCGGCGGGAAGTCCGGCGGACAAATTAACAGGCGGCGACTCTGATTCTGTTTGCAAGGAATCGCGGCCATTGTGAACCCCGAATTGCACGGTGCAATTTCGATCACCGAATTTCACCGCCCCCGTCTAAAGCCCATTCGGCTCGAAACTCGGGGACAA